ACCATTCTGCCAATATTTGCTTATATTTCACCCCGAATTTTCCTCCCCCACTTAGTTTATACACTTTCACCTCCCTCTTACTTGTTGTTGCCATTTTCCTCTTATCCCATCACCTCTTACTCTAACTGTAGCTACAACTAGATAATGATCCGATATATCAGTTGCCCCTCTATAAACATGTACATCCTGGAGCTTACCCATCAACCTTTTATCCACCATTACATAATCAAACAAACTACTTTCATTACATGCTGAAATCATACCTTGTATATTTTTTTAATCCTTTTTTTTCATAAAATAATATTACTTATTACCAAACGTCTTTCTACATATAGCTCAATTAAAGCTCCCCATTTTCATTTACCCCTGGAAACCCCAAATTTGCCTACTACTCCCTCCACAAAATTTTTTACCCACTTTAGCATTAAAACCCCCAAACCCACAAGTACTCTCACACTTGGTTCAAAACTCCCCCACACATTCACTCAACATTTCCCAAAATTTTCTCTCTCTCCTCTATACTTCTCTCTTCCCCAGGTGCACATACGCTTACTATAACCCACTTCCCCACATCCAACCTTTATTTTACTCCACATAATCCTTGAATTAATACATTTATAGTCCCTCTTTTCCTGCCATAGCTTATCCTTCAACATTATTGCTACTTCTTCTTTAGCTCTAACTCTATTTGAAACCCCTGACCTAATCTCATTTATTCCTCTCCACTGAAACTCTCCCACCCCCTTCAGCTTTGTTTCACTTAAAGCCAGGACATCCAGCTTTATCTCATTCATAACATCCACAATCATCTCTTTGTTATCATTCGCACAACATCCACGCACATTCAGACTTCCAATTTGGCAATTTTCCTCTTCATATTCTTTTTAGTAATTATTACAGGAAAAGGGGTTACTAGCCCATTGTTCCCGGCATTTTAGTTGACTTTTACAACACGCATGGCTTACGGAGGAAAGATTCTTATTCCACTTCCCCATGGATATAAAAGGAAAAGTAATAAGAACAAGAACTTCTTCTTCTTTCAACGTACCAGCCGTATCCCACTGAGGTGGGGTGGCCCAAAAGAAAAAACTGAAGTTTCTCCTTTTAAATTTAGTAATATATACAGGAGAAGGGGTTACTAGCCCCTTGCTCCCGGCATTTTAGTCGCCTCTTACGACACGCATGGCTTACAGAGGAAGAATTCTGTTCCACTTCCCCATGGAGATAAGAGGAAATAAACAAGAACAAGAATTAGAAAGAAAATAGAAGAAAACCCAGAGGGGTGTGTATATATATGCTTGTACATGTATGTGTAGTGTGATCTAAGTGTAAGTAGAAGTAGCAAGACGTACCTGTAATCTTGCATATTTATGAGACAGACAAAAGACACCAGCAATCCTACCATCATGTAAAACAATTACAGGCTTTCGTTTTACACTCACTTGGCAGGACGGTAGTACCTCCCTGGGTGGTTGCTGTCTACCAACCTACTACCTAAAAAAATAATAATAATAATGTACTACATATAATAATTATTTATTTATTTATTTATTTATAATTTGAGCACACTTACAGAGGTACAAAAAAAATACAGATAAGAGCAGCATGCCAAAGCCACTTATACTATGCATAGCATTTACGGGCTGGCTTAAAATTAACTTAAGATTAACTAAGCAATGATGAAATCAGTGAAAAACATTAATGTAAACTGATTACTATAAAGCACAAGTGAGTATTACAAAGACAGGTCATATGGTTGCATGCATTGTTGTAAATTCAGTAGAATGGAGTATTCTGTTAGGTAGTGTATTTAAAAAATAATAAAGTTAGATTGGGTTTTAGGTTTAACATTTATGTGATATAATTGTGAGAAACATTTAAGATATACAATTTATAAGGTTCAGTTATTCAGTATTTATTTGGTTTTGGGTGAGTAAGTGATCTTTGAGAAGAGACTTGAATTATAATAATAGATGGCTTCAAAAGGCCGTCACTAGATGGCAGTGTTTACAACAACAAAGAGGGAGCGTTTGTGGCCGCATGCACCTGTTACATAATGACACATTTTATTCATTCTAGAGTATTTATCATGTTTCTATGTTATTTATGTTGTTTGTTATGTCATATTAGATGAACTGTGATAGATAAATAAGCCGTATAGATGATATTAGCTAAATTATTAATGAAGTATTTAGACTGGTCTTCAGACAAACTATTGTCCACCACCGACACCGCCCATACCACTACATGAATGACATATTTTATTCATTTTAGAGTATACATCAGGTTTCTATATTATTTATATTGTTTATTATGTCATATTAGATGAAGTGAGATAGATAAATAAGCCGCAGAGTTGATATTAGCGAAATTATTGAAGTACAGAATTCCACTGGAACGGATTAATTGCATTTCAATTAATTTAAATGAAGAAAATTGACTCTGCAAACAAGCAAATCCAGTTGCGAGCAAGGTCATGGAATGGATTAAACTCGCAAGTAGAGGTTCCACTGTATAGTGTTTTTCATATTCTTGTGGCAATGAGAATATGAAAACACAGTTTCATCATATTTAGTTGTTGCTGGGATATGTTTTATTTATTTATTTATTTATTTATTTGGACATGATACATAGTTGTACAAAGAAATACAGTGACTGGGTGCACATGCCAAAAGCCCCTTGTATGCAGAGCATTACGGGCAAGCTTAAAATTAACTTAAGATTAACTAAGCAATGATATATACAGTTCAATTAAGTTTATTAAGTCACAGGTACACACAAGTACAACTATCTTATATAGTGTAAATTACCCTCTTATATGGGTGTGAAGCATGGGTGATGAATGTTGCAGCGAGGAGAAGGCTGGAGGCAGTGGAGATGTCATGTCTGAGGGCAATGTGTGGTGTGAATATAATGCAGAGAATTCGTAGTTTGGAAGTTAGGAGGAGGTGCGGGATTACCAAAACTGTTGTCCAGAGGGCTGAGGAAGGGTTGTTGAGGTGGTTTGGACATGTAGAGAGAATGGAGCGAAACAGAATGACTTCAAGAGTGTATCAGTCTGTAGTGGAAGGAAGGCGGGGTAGGGGTCGGCCTAGGAAAGGTTGGAGAGAGGGGTAAAGGGGGTTTTGTGTGCGAGGGGCTTGACTTCCAGCAGGTAGCATGAGCGTGTTTGATAGGAGTGAAAAGGAGACAAATGGTTTTTAATACTTGACGTGCTGTTGGAGTGTGAGCAAAGTAACATTTATGAAGGGGTTCAGAGAAACCGGCAGGCCGGACTTGAGTCCTGGAGATGGGAAGTACAGTGCCTGCACTCTGAAGGAGGGGTGTTAATGTTGCAGTTTAAAAACTGTAGTGTAAAGCACCCTTCTGGCAAGACAGTGATGGAGTGAATGATGGTGAAAGTTTTTCTTTTTCGGGCCACCCTGCCTTGGTGGGAATCGGCCAGTGTGATAATAAAAAAAAATAAAGAAAATGTTTTTATAAAATAAAAGTCAATATTTTTTAACCCTTTCAGGGTTTGTCCCATAGATCTACGGCTTTATGGTGAGTGTCCAAACCGTAGATCTACGCCATGAGCTCAGCTCACTCTGATAAACTGTGAGTGGTACATTTGGGCCTAGATATGAGAGAATACATCTATGTGGTATGTGTGCACCACATAAAACAGATCTTGCAGCACACTGTGTATAATGAGAGAAAAAAACTGAAATCATGATTTTTCGATTAAAACAGCAACTTTGCAGTGTTTTTTCGTATGTTTTTTATAGTTGTATTTGCGATTTCTTGGTCTCATTTGATAGAATGGAAGACATATTACAGAAATAGAGATGATTTTGATTGGTTTTAGCACTGGAAATGGCTTGAAACTGAGCTCAAAGTAGCGGAAATGTTAAATTTTTGCCGATATTCAAGAGTAAACAAACGACCTCGCACGTCTAATACTCGTCAGCTGGTGGGTCTAATATACATTCACAAATATGGTGATGATATTTATACAATTATTACAGTATTGCATAACAGTAAATCTTCTATTTTTTGGTGTGAATAAAAATTCATTATGTGAATAAAAAATCAAAATGGAATTTATTTGTAAAGCCTCAAAACATAACTAATGAACAGAGGAAATGTTAGTGTAGTGCCAGGAATGCCTACATTGTTTATTCTGGACCCTATTTTGAAATTGGAATATTTTGAACTTTGTGTTAAATTGGCCAAATTAACAATTTCCGATCACTTTATTTTGTAGTTGAAACAGTTGACTTGGCGATTTCTTGTGCTCAATCGATAGAATAGAAGTAATACTAGTGAAATAGCTAAGAATTTGGTTGATTGGAATAATGTAATTGGCCTAAAATGGGAGTCAAAGTCGGCAAAATCACCGATTCGTAAATATCGCTGACACATCAAAATTCGCGAGAGCATAATTTCGTCAATTTTCCACCAAATTTCGTACTTTTTGTTTTATTACCTTCACAAAAAGATTCTCTACGATTTCATAAGAAAAAATAACAAATTTTTTTTTTTGAAAATTCTTGGACACTGGTGCGTGACTCCAGATTTGGGCCTTGGACCCTGAAAGGGTTAAGGAGCTCAACCATGGTTATGATGAATTAGTAAAAGCTGTTCTTTCCATAAAAAATAAAACTTTTGTTCATTTACACACAAAAACTATAACTTTTCTTCATTTACACTCTAAAGCATTTGTTCATTTACACATAAAACTAAAGTTTTTGTTTATTTACACATAAAACTAAAGTTTTTGTTTATTTACACATAAAACTAAAGTTTTTGTTTATTTACACATACACACAAAAGCTAAAGCTTTTAGTAAATACACAAGTAACTTGCACACAGGAGAAAGAAACTCATATGACAACATTTCAATCTGACATAAACCATTAACTTGTCTCACACAAATCAGACAAAAACAGTGTCATAAGTGTGGGTTATGTGTGGGTTATTTGTGAAAAGCTTTTGTTCATTTACAGTGTGATATTTACCTTGCACAATAACTTCAAAGGAATCATCATTAGGTTTTGAGAGATCTGCAGTCACCTTGCAATTGTAGTGCCCTGAGTCCTCTTTGGTAGCATTCAGTACATGCAGAGTGCTAGTCTTGTAATTACTTTCCTTGCGGCTTACTGATGACTTGGCAGTGCTATAACTCTGCAGATTGGTAATAAGCTTAAAAATACAAATAGTACAAAAAAATATCAACCAAGATTCTGATATACACATTTCAAATTTTAGAAACATGGCATAATGAAAAAAAATTAACAGAAATTGTACTTTTAAAACAGTGTATATGATAATATGCAATACAACTGCAACACACATAGGTAATTCAAGGAATTACTGTGATACATTAATTCTTTGAGTTATGTTGAGGATTTCGAGGACATGATAGACAACAATTTATGTGGCCGTCATGTAAGAGGCTTAACAACAGTGTTATGTACTGTATATGCTAACTGCAGGTTTTTTGAGACAACCAGTAAAAGGGATCAGTTAAGAAGATTGTATAATAGATTTATGCAAGGCAGGGGTCTGGTTGTGGTGGATTCAGATGAATCTGAAGATGAAGATGGGAACACAGAGGAGGATAATCATGGAATATAAACACAAATATTAACTCTTTCATGTCATAAACCCTGAAATTAAGTGTTGAGTGTTTTGATTTTTAAAAATAATGATAATTTTATCTCCTGATATGGTAGAGAAAGCTTTTTTTTGAAGGTAATGGCACAAAAATGCAAAATTTGATTGAAAGTTGGCAGTTTGGGTAAAATTTATGCTTCAACAATTTGGTCCAATTAAAGTCCTATTTTAAGCCAATTCCATTGCTAAATTTGACCCAATTCTTAACTATTTTGCAAGTATGTTTTCTGTTCTATTGACTGAGTGGAAGAAACTGCCCAGTAATCAACCCAATTTTACACAAAATTTAACAAATTCAAATTTAAAAACAGGCAAAAATAACACAGCCACTAAAGCAACATATCCTCTGTTCATTAACCCTTTCAAGGTCCACAGGCCCTCTCAGAGACTTGTTCTCAGGGTCCCCCAAATTTAAAAAAAAAAAAAAAAAAAAAAAATTCTTACGAAAAGATAGAGAATCTTTTCCCGATCATAATGACACCAAAAGTATGAAATTTGATGGAAAACTTACGGAATTATGCTCTCGCGAAGTTAGCGGTCTCGGCGATGTTTACGCATCGGCGATTTTGCCCACTTTCAGCCCTATTTTCGGCCAATTCCAATGTACTAGCCAACAAAAATCATAACCATTTCACTAGAACTCCATCTTTTTCTATCGAATGAGTACAAGAAACCACCAATTTACCGATTTCAACTATCCAATACAGTGGTCAGAATTTATCAATTTTGCCAATTTCACACAAATTTCAAAAGATGCCAATTTCCAAATAGGGTCCAGAATAAACAAGAAAGACATTCCTGGCACTAAAATAACATTTCCTCTGTTCATTAGTCACATCCCCACGCACCTATTACATACTTTTGCTTTCCATTTTGAATTTTCATTCTCACAAAAAGTAGAAGATTTACTGTTACGCAGACTACTGCATTAGTGTAGAAATGGTATAAATAATATCAGTGCACTTGTGAAAGAATATTAGACTCACCAGTTGACGTGTATTGGACGCTTAGCATGATTTGTTTACTTTTGAACTTTGGAAAAAATCTAACATTTCTGCTACTTTGAGCTCATTTTCAAGGTACTTTTCATTGTAAAACCAGTCAAAATCATCTCACTTTCTGTAATACGTCTTCCATTCTATACAATGAGACCAGGAAAACTAGAATACAACAATAAATACCATACAAAAATACAGTGCAAAGTCTCTGTTTTAATCCAAAAACACGGTCAAAGTTTTTTTTTTCTCATTACACACTGTGTGCTGCAGGATTTTTTTTATACTGTGCACACTGACCACACAGACCCATTCTTTCATATGTAGGCCTACCAGCTTTCTCTCACTAGATTTGAAGGTGCTAGAATTTATGCGTACTAATACGTCATGGACACTGGTGCGTAAGCCATACTAGTACGTCCGAAACCCTGAAAGGGTTAATCACATCCCCAGTTCTCTCCTATATAACACTTGCCCTTCATTTTGAATTCATCAAGTTCTTTAAGAAATTTTAAAATAAAGATTACAGACATTCTGTCAAACTGTTAGATGACATACTGTTTAGAGACATCTAAACTGTTGTATTTGCACACCTCTGGCAAAACAGTAGTAGTATAAATGATGGTGAAAGCATTTTTATTTTTTTTGGGGGGTCACCCTGTCTCGGTGGGAGACAAATATTTTCCAACAAGATATATTAGTTATAAAGACAGGTTAAGTGGTTATGTCTTACATGTAAAAGACTACATTTATGCAAAGCATTTTGGGCAAACGAGGATAAGTCATAATATTGGGAACCAATATCTGTTTATAACATCTATTCAGATTCAGATTCTTTACTTCAGCATGATACAATGTTTGTACAGAGATGGATAACATTTAGGTGTGCATGCAGAAAGCCCCTTGACATGCAGAGCATTTCAAGCAAACCTAAGACTAACTTAAGGTTAGAAAGGCAATGACTAATAGAGTGGTTTTATATACAGTCTGTTAGGTGGTTGTAAATATAAATTTAGGAGTTACAGTGAATACAAGAGAAATGAATATCCTATTAGTACATGTTATACAGTGGACCCTCGGCTAACGAACGCATCGCATAACATTAAATCCGCCCGACAAAGCATTTGAGCATAAAAATTTTGGCATGGCTAACGATAAAAAACTCGCCCAACGTGATTCGTCCCGAACTTGCCCATCCAGCCTGAGCACCTCAGCTGCCCTGCCGTCATTGTTTACAAGCCAGGGTGGCCGGTTTCATGCATACATTCGATACGTTTTGTATTATTCCATTGTTTATAGTGCTTGTAACTGCTAAATAAGCCACCATGGGCCCAAAGAAAGCTTCTAGTGCCAACCCTGTGGTAAAGAGGATGAGAAATACTATCGTACCACAGTCAGCTGCTGTTGCACCACCGTCAGCTGTTGCTGCACCACGGTCAGCTGTACTACTGGACGATGTGGAGAGACTGTTGTTGGTGTGTCTTGACGAGAAACGATTACCGAGAAACAATTAACCCCAGAGGGTTAGCCACCCAGGATAACCCAAGAAAGCCAGTGAGTCAACGAGGACTGTAACTTATTTCCATTGGGGTCCTTAATCTTGTCCCCCATGATGCGACCCACACCAGTCGACTAACACCCAGGTGAACAGGAAAAAATGCCTGGAACTAGTGCTCATATTGGTGAATTTAAGGCCAGCAAAGATTGGTTTGAGAGATTTAAGTGTTCAATTGTGATGAAACCAGCCTGTTCTGGAAGAAAATGCCAAACAGGACCTACATTACTCAGGAGGAAAAGGCTCTCCCAGGACACAAGCCTATGAAATCAGAATCAGAACATGCACACTCGACTGAATGAATACCTTGATTTCCAAGACGACAAAACTGAACAAGATAAGTTGTCTGATGCAGTTATAATAAACAGCCCTCACATTCCTAGTGACATAACCCAAGCACAGTGCAAAGAAACTGCTATCAGGACCACATAAAAGTTATCGTGCAAAACAATGAAATCAAAGAAACACGTTTGTTAGGAAAACAAGGTAGTGAACACAGTATCATGATCAGACTTCATTCATATGATAAAAGAAAGGACTTAATTAAATCAGCAATTACAATGAAAAATGGAGTGTACATCAACGAGTGTCTAACGAGAAAACGTCAAAACCTTCTGTTCAGGTTGAGAAAACTTAAACAAGAAAACAAAATACATCAGTGTTTCACTCAAGATGAGAAAATACTAATTAGAAAAACTTCAACAGGACAACAATACACCATCTCAAATGAACATGATTTCTCTACCTTCCTTAGAAAAGCTGACATTTCTGTAACAGATTAGGTAAGTGTCCTTAACACACACAGTGGACCCCCGCATACCGTTGGCCTTACATAACGTTAAATCCGCATACCGATACATTTTATCGCTAAGATTTTGCCTCGCATACAGCTAAAAAACCCGCTCAACGCTGTTCGTCCGAGACACGTCTATGTGAGGGCTGAGCCAGCCTCACATGTTCCGCTGGTGGCATTGTTTACAAGCCAGCCTCCGCGGTAACATCCAAGCATACAATTGTAACATTTCGTATTATTACAGTGTTTTTGGTGATTTTATCTGCAAAATAAGTGACCATGGGCCCCAAGAAAGCTTCTAGTGCCAACCCTGTGGTAAAAAGGGTGAGAAATATTATCGAAATACTGTGGTACCATGGTCAACTGCTGATGCTGCTGCTGCAGCACTGTCAGCTGCTGCTGCTGCTGTAGCACCATCAGCTGCTGCTGCTGCTGTACCACCGACAGCTGCTGCTGCTGCTGTACCACCGTCAGCTGCTGCTGCTGCTGCTGTTGTAGTACCGTCTGCTGCTGCTGCTGCTGTAGTACCATCTGCTGCTGCTGTAGCATCGTATGCTGCTGCTGTAGCATCGTCTGCTGCTGCGTAGCACATGTCATGCTGACTGCTGCTGACTGCTGCATTGTCAGCTGTGCTGCTGCTGCTGTAGCACTGTCAGCTGCTGCGCTGCGTTAGCACCGCCAGCTGCTGTGCTGCTGTACCACCTCAGCTGCTGCTGCTGCTGTTGTAGACCGTCTGCTGCTGCTGTTGTAGCATTGTCCTGCTGCTGCTGTAGCATTTGCATGCTGCTGCTCCCTGTAGCACTGTCAGCTGCTGCTGCGGGCCTTTTAGCACTGTCAGCTGCTGTGCTGCTGTAGCACTGTCAGCTGCTGCTGTGCTGTACCCCCGTCAGCTGCTGCTGCTGCTGCTTAGTACCGTCTGCTGCTGCTGTTGCTGTAGTCCCTTTCTGCTGCTGCTTTTGGGGCATCGTCCTGTTTGCTGTAGAAATGTCAGTGTTTGCTGCTGCTGTAGCACTGTCAGCTGCTGCTGCTGCTGCTGCTGCTGTAGCACCTTTTTGTTGGTGTGGCTTATTGAGAAATACCAAGAAACATTAACCCCAGGGGTTAGCCACCCAGGATAACCCAAGAAAGTCAGTGCATCATCGAGGACTCTAACTTTTTTTCCATTGGGTCCTTAATCTTGTCTCCCAGGATGCAACCCCCACCAGTCGATAACACCCAGATGAACAGGGAAAAAAAGCCTGGAACTAGTGCTCATATTGGTGAATTTAAGCCAGCAAAGGTTGGTTTGAGAGATTTTAAAAATCGTAGTGACA